TACTGTAGGTGGCACCATCCCTAAGCAGGAAGCCTTGGGCTGTATAGGTAACTAGTAGACCATACGTCTGAATGAGCCAGAGTGAACCAGTAAGCAGTTTTCCATGGTTCCTGCCTTGATTTCCCTTTCTGATTGGAGTGTGACCTAGTAGTGTGAGCTGAATAAACCCCTTCCTCTCAAGTTGCATTTAAACAGTGTTCTATTTATCACAGCAACAGAATGAAACCACAACACTAGGTTTCGGCATTAAGCATGAGGAGTGAGTGTCAGAGTAAGGTGTTTCAAGGTTAATGTGTCCACAGACTAAAGGAGAAAGTCTAAACTTGGAAGACAGCGAATGGGATTTACAGAATTGATGGGTAGGAAGCTACAATACTGTGAGCCTTAAGTGGTACCATCAAGAAAATAAAAGAGACTACACACACACATAATAGGAGACTGTATTTGCATACTACTATGAATAACCTATACTGACTGTATACAAAGCCTACACTCAGTAGTAAACAATCCAATAGAAATGAATGGACAAATATCCCAAAAGGCATTTGTTTCTCCAAAGAGAAACACCCTCATTAACAATACTCAGCACCAGCAGAGCAATACCAGAGAATGCCTGTGTACTACTGTGTGCAAGGTACCTGGTTTCATGCCCAGCACTACATCTTTCCCTGTCCCTAAAATAACTAAAACAAATCCTTTTCTCACCCACTAGGATGGCATGAAAATGAAGCATTAACAATTGTTAGTATGTCCCATGGACACTAGAACACACTTGTTGGTAGGCATGGACATAGTTTAAAAGCTGCAGAAAAGGGGTTGGGAGTTTCTCAAACAGTTAAATAGATGTAACCCAAGAATTCTACTTTTGAGCATATGCTCAACAGATAGAACACATGATGTTCATATCAAAGCTCATAGTAGCATTATTAAACAATAAAAGTGTGTATCAAGTAATGACTACATAAAACAAAAGCACATCTAAAAGATATCTGGCAGTAAAAAAGAACAAGATGTCAACATGGGAGGGCCCAGAGAAAAGATGATAGAAAGGAGCCAGGGCTGGAAAGTGGCTGGGCCCCAGGGGCCAGGAAGCTCTGGGGTTTATACTCAGCATCATAAAGAACAAGACAAAGGAGGAGGAAGGGATTAAGGGAGGATAAGCAGGATATGGAAAGAGAAAGGAAGGAGAGGAGAGGAGAGTGAATTTAGGAGGGAGGGAAGAGCTAGAAACAAAGGGACACTATTTTCATAATTTCATTATAAAAAGACAAAACAAATTTAGAAAGTGGATTAGTGACTTGTCAGAAGCTAGAGATAAAGGCAGCGAGTGATTAATAATTAGGTGTTTGGTCAGGTGTGGGGGCACACACCCTGAATTCCAGCAGGCAGTAGATCTCTGAGTTTGAGGCCAGCCCAGGTCTATAAAGACAGCCAGAGCTACAGAAAAACCTGTCTTAAAAAAAACAAACCCCAAAACCAAAAACTTAATGCTTTCTTTTTGAGACAGGGATCTAGCTATGTAGTCTAGGAAGCCTCAGTCTCCATTCTCCTACCTTAGCATCCTAAGTGCTGGTATTACAGATGCATGCCATCATGCCCAATTGCCAATGCCAACTGTAAAGGTTTGTGGTTTTTTTTTTTTTTTTTTTTTTTTTAACCCTCAAGCAGAACATGATGCTATTTTGGAGCAGGAAATACCTTGGACAGGTAGCTATGGCTACCAATAAGCAAAATTAATATAGAGACAGACAGGACTATTATAGAGATGTTGACATTCCCTAGCACGTGAATGAGGGAAGGTCCAAGACTATCACTAGGGAGTCTAGCTATTACTTCCTCATGACCCCATCCATCCCCCAACTCCCCAAGTGAACTACAGGAGGTGAGAGGTCAACTGAAAGGGGAGACTCCATAATGCTGTTTTCTTGAGAGGTCATTATCTATGCTGGAGTGGAGCTCACCCATGGTCCTGTAAATAGACCCTCATCCATGTTCTGTAGCAAGCAAGCCCAATAAACTCACTGGTTCACTAAGTTGGACTCTGGTGGAATCGTACTTTGCTCGGTCCTTGGTGACCTACCTATCTGGGATGAATAAACATTTGTTTGCATCTCCCTAGGAAAAGTTAATGCAACACTGGGTAACTAGGAAAATATCATTATTATTAGAATAGCAGCTCTTTGTTAATGTACAAGTACATGTCTCACAGTATCTATGGGGGTTGGTTCCAGAACTACCCCTCAAACATATAAACTCCATGGACGCACAAGTCATCTGAAGAAAATGGCTGAATATTTACAATGCTACCTACTTTTATGTCTTCAAGAATATTTTAAAATCTTAAGATCACTCAGACTAGCGGCAGCGGTGGTGTCGCATGTCTTTAATCCCAGAACTCAGGAGGCAGCGGCAGGTTGTTCTCTGTGAGTTTGAGGACAGCCTGGTCTACAGATTAAGTTCCAAGACAGCTAGGGCTGTTACAGAGAAACCCCGTCTCGAAAACAAAACAAAACGACCACCCATAATCCCTGACATGCCTCCAGAACAGGGCCAGACTACACCGCTTAGGGGAGGGCAAGAACATCTACACACAAGCAATACAGTTGCAATCTTTTAAAAAAGATTTACTCTACCTACCTATCTTTTAGTTTTTTGAGACAGGGTTTCTCTGTATATCCCTGGCCATCCTGGAAGTCCTTAGTAGACCAGGCTGGCTACAAACTCAGAAATCTACCTGCCTCTGTCTCCTGAGTGCTGGGATTAAAGAAGGGAGCCACCACTGACCAGCAATTTAATTGTATTTTTAACTATGTGTGTGTGTGTCTTTGTGTGGGCTTATGCATGTGAGTACAGGTGCTCTTGGAGGCCAGAAATTGGTACTTGATCCCAGGAATTGAAATATCAAACAGGCAGCTGGGAGCTACCTCATGTGGGAACTGAATTCTTCTCTGCAAGAGAAGTATGTGTTCTTAATCACTGAGCCATCTCTCCAGCCTGTCCTAAATATTTCCCATCTGTGAAGGGTTGACTCAACTTCACTGCCACGGAGACTCTGCACAAAGCACTTCATATTCTCCACCTTATTTGGTCTGCTTACAACACTTGATAGTTTGACGAGCCCAAGAGAACGACCTATTTACCCAAGGTTGTTTATTGGGGGAGTGGTCAGATTTAAACCCAACATGTTTAGGCGAATCAGAGTCCGGGTGCAGTAGGGTCAGGAAGGAAGGAAAACACGAACATGTTTCACAAACAACCTAAATAATCCTTTTTTTTGAAATAAGGCTTCATTATATTGCCCACACTAGTTTCAGACTTGGGGCAATCCTCTCTTGAGTGATGGGATTATAAGCATGTGCCACCACACCAGCTCTAGGTAATCCATAATTTAGATTATTAGCAATTCATTAATAAACTCAAGCATTTGCCAACCTCAGACTTAAACTAGCAATTTTATGTCACCTTGTACATAATTTAAAAACTCTAATAGCAATGGTTCTTCTAAAACAATTTATACCAATCCTAGCTCATTCCTTTCATCATTCATGGAAACTATATGGCTTTTTTTGTTTTTAGACAGGGTTTCTCTGTATAACCCTGGAATTCTTGAGATCTACCTGCCTCCGGGATACTGCTTTTAAAGGTACGTGTTTAATGGCTTTTTAAAGCAGAAGAGCTGGTGATAGGGCTCAGTGGGTAATACGGCCAGCTGCCAAGCCTAAAACCTGACTTCAATCCCCAGGATCCTCATGGTAGGAGAGAATAGGTTTTTCTAAGTTATCCTCTGACTTGTACATGTTGCAGGCATAGGCCCACACATACAAAGTAAATATAAATAAAAAAGTTTAAAATAAAACCAAAATAAAGCAGAAGCTAAAGGGCCTTCTATTGAAGACCCCCTGAAAAAGACCGCCTCTATCATCCCTCCCATGCCGATGAGCTGAGCAGTAGCCACTATTTATTCTTTAGCTGAGAAATTTGTATATCAAATCATAAACACCATTTTAACAAGGACTAAACACCCTGAAAGCACAGAGACAGCAAGGAAACAGGGAGGCAGATCTACCAGTGCCTATACGGAAGCCCTCCAGGGATATCTTTAATCAGAGCATATGGTAATTTGCATGCTCACTGTAGAAGGCATTTAAGCACAGTAAATGTTGCTTTAGGAAATTTAAAGTCTGGCACAAATGTAGAAAAAATACCAACACCCCATGCCTACCCAAATTCTCGTTAGTCAAATGCTTTGCAGCTACAACAAAATGTAGCCTATAAATCCGGGCCCTGCAGAGAGCCCTTCACAGCTTACTTTCTGAGAGAAAAGGGAAGCTTATAAACTCACATGACAAGACTTCCTCAGACCACACTGCTCAACAGGTGGCAGAACCCAGAAATTCTCAGTAAGTAAAAAAAAAAAAAAAAAAAAAAAAAAAAAAAAATTATTTGACAGAAATTTCCCTTGAAATTAAGGGCCTTATTAATAGGAATTACTCTGGTGACTAGCCGTAAAATGTGCAGGGTTTCTTCTTCAGATAAATCATCTGACAAGGAGTTAAGAGACAGCACTAGCTACTTTTCAAAGGGCTTAGGTTTGATTCCCAGCACCAACATGACAACTCTTAAGCAACTCTAGTCCAAGAATCTACTCTGATATTCTCTTCTGGCCTCTGTAAACACCAGCCTCACATGAAGGCAAAACATCCATACACATATAGTAAATAAAAACAAAACAAGCCAGGCAGTGGTGTAGCACGCCTTTATTTCCTTCCAGCACTTGGAAGGCAGAGACAGGTGGATCTCTGTGAGTTGAAGGCAAGCCTGGTAAACAGAGCTAGTTTCAGGACAGGCTCCAAAGCAATAAATACAGAGAAACCCTGTCTCAAAAAACAAAAACAAAACAAACCAACAAAAATCTTAACAAACTACATTGTTTTTGCTGATAGGAAACTATTACAATAAATAGTCTTAAAAATTATGTTATTAGTACATTTATAGCTTACCCAGTGCAAAGCTGTATTTCTGGTGATAATGTTCCTTATGCCATGGCCATCAAAGAACAATCTGAATGAATAGAAAGAGAAAATGCATTTCTCTACGTTAAACCAAACTGATTTCTGAAAGGAAAAATCACACTGAAAATTTAAGATGCTGAGTTTGAGGCTGTTCAGTGGTTCATGGCACCTATGTCAGGTGACTCACAACTAACTGCCTATAACTCCAGCTTCAGGGGACCCAATTCTCTCTTCTAGCCTCCACAGGTACCCTGATACACATAGTACTCTCACACACACACAGGCAAATAAAAATAAATCTTATACAAAAAGAAAAAGAACTTAGGACGCCCATGCCAGTCTGTGTACATGTACTCACTTGATGAACACTTTGCGAGGAGCAGGCAGAAAACTCATTAAGACTGTTGCTGTCCAGACAATGGTAGTACCCACCTATAATGCCAGAACCCAAGTGCTCGAAACAGTGAGTTCAGGGCTAGCCTGAGCTACACTGCAAGACTCCATCAAGTTTTTTTTCTTTTAAAGATTTATTTATTATGCATACTGTGTTCTGGTGCCAGAAGAGGGCACCAGATCCCATTATAGATGGTTATGAGCCACCATGTGGTTGCCGGGAATTGAACTAAGGACCTCTGGAAAAGCAGCCAGTGCTTTTAACCTGAGCCATCTTTCCAGTGCCTGCTTCTGTGGTATTTTAGAATAAAGTTTTTACTATATTTTAACTTGTTTTCCTGTGTTGTGCAAAGGCACACAGCATACATGAAGGTCAGAAGATAACTCACAGGAGTCAGTCCTCTCCTTCTACCACGTGGCGCTGGGGACGGACGGACTCCAGGTGTCAAACTTGGCACTGTTAGGCAGGGCCAGGCCATTTTGCATAGCTCCGCCATCCTGGCTGAACTGTGACAACACCTGTAACAACTGTACTTTCGTCTTATGAACTAAAATGATGTATTTCTATCCATTCTTGCCTTCCTGCCTGGTCAAACCCCAGGGATGGCCAGTAGGACAGATGCTTATTGATCACCTAACAGTCTTAGGTATAACTAACTGACTGACTATAAGGGACCCTCTTCCTGCCACAAGGGCCCAGACTCTCATTAGCCCCTGCCATGCTGATGCCTATGTTTATCTTTTTGTTAATCACTCTTCTAGAACATTTATTATCCCAAAGAATGATCTGCCTCAGCGCCCACCTTGATCTTCAAACCTTTCGCAATGGTGTGGAAACCTGAGACGGCTCTACTGAAATGGGTTGCTCTCTGGGACCCTCCTCTTTGTTATTGCTTTCTCTCCATCTTACGCTAGCCAGGCAGCATTTCCCACTGAGGAATATTTCTGGTTTTCCAGGAGCTCCATCCATTTGTTGCCCTTCCCAGAAAACCTCAATCCTGGGACAGAGTGGTCTTTGAGGCTTGGGCAGTCTCTTCTGCCTTTAAAGGAGCTGAGTCTAAGGAAGCTTACTTTCCTCTGTTTACTGTTAGTGACATGTGTCACACCTCTGGAAGGAAATTCTGCTAGAAAACTGAGAAGTATGTTGTCTATCTTGAGACCCATTGTGAGGGTTTTGGTGACCTAATTGGGTCAGATAAGCAGCCCAACAGGAGCATCTATTTCTTTAAAATTTAGAACTTCAGCTGGGTGTGGCAGCCCCACAGGAATCTAACTCTTGGGGCTAGAAGTACGAGGGTCAGGAGTTCAAGGTCATCACACTGGGCGGTTCAGTATATATTTTGCAGGTTTGTTTTGCTTTGAGACAGGGTTTATCTATGTAGCCCTGGCTGTTCTGGAACTCCTGTAGACCAGGTTGGCCTGGGAACTCACAAGAGATTAAAGGCATGAGCCACCACCGTCTGTCTTGTTTTTCAAAACTCTTAAATCAAGATGGGTGGTGGCAGCCCATGTCTTTAATCCCAGAACTTAGGAGGCAGAGGCCAGAGCCACACAACAGAGAAACCCTGTCTTGAAAAACCAAAACCCTACAAACAAACCAAACCCAAACTAAACAAAGAAAAAAACCAAAACAACGCAAAAACCCCAAAATAAAAACTTGAAAAGTGAACAAATGTAAAGGCAGGAAAGATTTATAAAACAGGAAATAGACAAAAACTCAAAGGCATCACCTGTGAAGAAATAACAGACTATTTTCTACTCTAATAAAGGGAAAATTTTCCAGCTTCACAAGTTCTCTGCATGTCAAAGGCAATGTGCTTCTCCAGTTGCCACTAGGGTAAACTTCTGCACTGATTCCAAAGGGGCAAGGAGGGGAGGTAGGTGGGAAACTGCTACCATCTGATTTAAAGCAATCAGGGCCCCCAGACTCCTTTTGTAAGCCTTCAGCTGAACCTGCTGCCATTAAGAGCTTGCATCAATACAAGGGATTCAACTAAATGTTCCAAATCAAGTTTCTAAATTGCTCTGTGGACATGCTTATAGCAGCTTCAGAAGTCTCCAGAGTACCTTCTGCTGTGTGTATACAGTATAAACACAACACAAAACTTACCACTGTAACTTTGTGTAATGTTATGCTGACATTACATCATTCACACTGTTGTGTCCAATCCATTTCTAGAATGTTCTTACTATCTCCTAGAACTCAGTGCACACTGAACACAATATCTGACTCTAGCACTTGATAAATTGTTTTATGTCCTGTCTATTCCTGTATTTGTCCCTGTTTCTCACTTCTCAACCATAGTACTTTGGAAAAATGCAGGGTCTGAATTACTATTAGGTTTCTAAATTCTTCCCTTAGCTGCCCCTAAAAATTTTGCTACAGTGCTAAGGATCTCAAAGGCAGATGTCAACCTGGTCCTTCCTGAGCCTGTAGACATGATGGCCTGGTTAAACAGGGGCAGTGCCTGACAGCCCTAGAGGCCATCTCGGGTTCCTGGAAAGAGCAAATAACTGTGGAGAGCTGTGCAGACCACATGAAAGCGAAGTTCAGGATTCACTGGCTGCCTGAACCCTGGGATGGGCCTTCAGTTTGAGGGCCAGGAGCTCCCGACTTTGTGAGGTTAGGTGACACCGGTCAGAACTGAGGCAAGGCTGCGGTCGGGCCACTGAGAATGTCGCCCGGGCAGGCGAGTTTCACGGGGTCATGAGTCACCTTCCATGGCTCAGAGGTCCAGGCAGGACCCGCCCTGCCTAAATAAACCCAGTTGGGAGGGAGAGAAACAAGAACACAACATTGGCAGAGAGAAAAACACACAAATGGGCAAGGAGCCAGTGTGACATTCGGGCCCTGAACCAGAGGACCGCCTGAGGGGCAGAAGCAGTCAACAAACACTGAAACAAGGTGAACAGAGATAAAGACAAGGTCCCTAGACTGAGCTCCAGAGATACAAAGTCGAGAGAAACTCCAGCTGATGAGGGCTAGGTTGGGGACAAAAACAAGTGACAACGGAGTAACAAAAGAGGCGAAACTTAGAGCGGCGTCGGCTCGCGCGTGGGTGGCTCGACCCTGAGGTTGCCGCGCGGGCGGATCCTCCAAGCGCTCCGGCCTGCCGTGCACCTGCCGCGGGGTGACCTTGGACAGGAAGTCTCCCGGGTGGCGCTGGAGGCCTCGGGGCTCCGAGCCGGGGCGCCGGGGACTACGAAGTCGCTCGCGCCGTCCCGCGTCTCGGCCACCGGGGGGGCAGCTCTCGGTGAGCACCCCGTCCCGGACGCTCGTGACCCCATCCGTGACCTCCCGCCGCCGTCGGCTTCCCCACCCCGCCGTACCTGCCGACGGCTCCGCGCTTGCAGCTCCAGCCTACCGGAGCGCCTAGTCGCCCGCACGAAGGCCTTATTCTCCACCGCCACCGCGGGGACAGCTTCCGCCGGAGTCTCCCGCCTCCCCGGAAACGCTTCCAGGCCCCGCCCCCGAAACTGCCAGTGCTTCCGGAGGCGCGTCAGCGACGCTGTGGTGTGCGCATGCTCTAGGAGCCCTTTCAGGGAGGGTCTTCGGGAGAGCACGCTGAGGCGGCCAGTGCCTGCGCAGTAGGATCTAGCGCTGGTCACGTTTGGGGAGGCAGTACCTGGTCTATAAGAGTAAGCTAATTACGAGTTCGAAGTTCTTAGGAACAGCGAGCTACTTGAGCGGGTAAAGGCGCTTGCCGCCAGGCCTAATGGCCTGGGTTCTATCCTTGGAAGACACATGGTGGAAGGACTGACTCGCAAGTTGTCCGCTAACCTCCACAAGCACACTAGGGCAAGTGAGAGCTCTCCCTCACTCACCCCTAAAACATACACATGCATACAAAAAAAAAAAAAAAACTGGGACTGAAGAGATGCCTCAGGATAAGCTTGAATACAAAGCCAACTTGGGATACATCGGTAGTTCCAGGTCAGCCTGCACTACACAGTGAGACCTTGTCTCAAAAAACTAATAAAATATAACCCCAACATATCTGACAGCAAAGCAGCAAAACAGTCACTCGGTGTCATATGAAAGCCAGACATCTCAGTCTCCTTGCCCTTAGTCCCTGTCATTTTGTATGTGTTTACAGATGCCTGAACTTCCCAGCTTGAGGTGTGGTTGGAGCCAAGAAGGAAGTTAACGTCGTGAATCACTTAAGGAGTATATTCGACACTAAAGCATACTTTCCTTGAATTCTCCTGTAGTGACCTCTATGTATTTATTCACTTCTATTTACTTTTGTTTACTTGTGGCAAGAAGTTGGTCACATGTCTGTGCCGGATGCAGTACCACCAACTAATCATGAGAAGACCGAGGTTTGGGCTAAGTCTGAGTCACCTCTTCAGCAGAGGGCAGTCTACTTTTCCTAAGTTCAAGGGAACCATATCTGGTACCTCAACAAAAGTGTTTGTTTGACCTAATATTCCCTTTGGGAATTCTTGGAGGTGCTGGAACACTTATCCTTGAATCTCATTAAGGTGTTTTTTGTTTAACATTACATCATTTATTGCATGTGTATGAGTGTGTGTGATGTGGTATGGGGGTGGAGGTCAGAGGACTACTCAATGAGAGCTGATTCTCTCCTTCTGCCATGTAGGTCTCAGGGATTGAACTCACATCATCAGGTTTGGTGGCTTTATCTGATGAGTCATCTCACTGACCCCAGAGTAGTTTATTATAGATATTTTAAAGACAGAGTTTAAAAGACAGAGAGGCTCTTGGGAAGAAAGTAAGACACACCAAGATCATGGGTGTGGGCTCCTCATTTTACTGTCTTACAACAACCACATATGGGATTTGGGTGGAAACTGAAGTTGTTGTCATCAAAGAATTGATTCCTAAAATATACCTGACAGTATTAAAATTGTGTGTAGGTGCCTGTGGCTGTCAGAAGAGGGCACTGGATCACCCTAGAACTGGAGTTACAGGCAGTTTTGAGCCACTTTACATTGGGTGCTGGGAACTGACCCTGGGTCCTCTGAAAGATCAGGAAACTTTTGATCCCTGAGCTGTGTCGGCAGCCCCTTAAGTTACTTTTTGTTTGAGACAGGTTTTCTCTGTGTTCCAACAGTGTATTGAGCTTTCGGAAGTCTAGTCTGTTTACCTGAGAGCCTTAATGTGTCTTCGGTCAGCAAGGATCATCCTAGAGTAGTTTCAGCATAAAGGGACCTCAGGTAGCTATTGTTAAGCAACCCCAATGTGGTGGATGTCTATACTAATGTGTTCATTCATTTATTTGTGGATAAGGTCTTAGGTAGCCCAGGCTGGCTTCAAACTTGCTACATAGAGAGAAATTACTTTGAACTTCTGATTTCCTTGCCTCTTCACCCTGAGTGCTGGGATTATAAACATGCATCATTATATCCATTCTATGCAGTTCTGAGGATTGAACCCTCATGCACGTCAGGCAAGAACACTACTAGCTGAGTTACAACCATATATATATGTGTATATATATGTATATATATACATATATGTACATATATATGTGGTTATATATAAATAATAAACTAATATAAATATATATAACCATTATGGTTCTAACTCATATATACATATGATTATATATATATACACACACACACATATCTTGAGTCTTGAGCTGTGTCCATCTGAGCCCAGCTTCTCTCTGCAGGTGAGATAGATCTGCTCCAAATGAATTCATTCAGGCAGACCAGGCTAAAGGGATAGCAACTGCTCAGGAACTGCTCTTCTCATGAGCAGTCAAAGGGTCTAGTAGGTCTTTAAACTTTCATTTGTGTTTTCTTTCAATTCAAGCCAAGGTAAGTCTAAAGTTAAGGGGTGGGGGAAATTTATTCTGCTGGAACTCACTTTTTAGTCCAGGCTATACTTGAACTCACAGAGATCCACCTGCCTCTGCTTCTCAAGTGCTGGGATTAAAAGAATGTACCACCACTGCCCAGATCATATTCTACATTTACAGGGTTTAGGACATAGTCCTGTCACAATAGGTATGAACACAAGGATGTATTGATATATTGAAAGCAATATATCAGTTGACCCCAAGATTCCATGTTATGTCTATATGAGTTTCTACTCCATATATGAAGTAAATCATTGTGGCCTATTTTCCGTATGAGGTGCATTTATAGTGCACCAGAACATCACAGATAAGGAGAAGGTACCAAGCCCTGTTTTCCCTAGCTGCCCTCTTGTGTCTGCTTGTGTAGGTGCTTTCCATTCACCCTAGGGTTTGAAAGTCACAGGTAGTCTGCTATGCGACTGAGCTCACATATCAGAAAAGGAGGGAATCTTGAGCCCCAGGTTATACATTAGATAAGGCTTTGGCTCCCAAATCAATAGGATGGGGAATCAGTGGTGGGGTCAATCCTGGACATTGTACCTTCCTTAAGAACTCAGCCAATGAAGAATTCAACAGGCAGAGTAATGCAATTAGGGATGTAAAAACCTAATTTTTCTGCACCGTTGCCTTTGTCTAGACTGATGTTTTGTGTAGTTTGTGAAATAAATAGCCTCACACTGGCTTTCTGAGTCCTAGCACTCTTATTCTGAAGTAGGGATCATTGTTTCTCACATCCATGTGAAGCCCATCACCCCATCCCAGGACTCTTGAAAGTCTGAGACTCAAAAGCCTTGGGAAGCTCAAGGTCTGGGTTCTCTTGAACCACAGAATGTCTAGATATACTTCAACTGGGTGCCAAGATCTGTGAACAAAAAAGGGCAAGTGTCAGCTTCCTCCCTCCACTCTCCATACAGCCCCCAACAGTGTGACCAAATAGGAATAAGATAATCACAACAAACGTGCTAGTTAGAAGAGGGGAAAAGGTGTGGGAGGGCAGAATAGTCACTGGTTCATGGCAACTCTGAAATTCCAATGGACAGATATTGCCACATGCTCTAGTTTCACTTCTGTCACGCTGATAAAATGCCCTGACAAAAACCAACTTAAGAGTAGGAAGGGTTCTTTGTAGCCCACATTTACAAGTTACAATTCATCATTTTATGGAAGTCAATTAATAGAATTGAAAACAGCTAGCCACAGCACATCCAGTCAAGAATAGAGAGAAATGGTTACATGCATGTCACCTGCTTGCTTACTTGCTTGTGCTCGGCTCCATTTCTCTACTCTTACACAGTTTGGGACCCTTTCCCTAGGGAATGGTGCCACCTCAGTGGTCTGGGTCTCCTTGTATCAACTAATCTGCTCAAGATGATTCCTCATAGATATACACTAAAGTCAATCTGATCTAGGCAATTTGACACAGTCTTTCTTGGTGACTCTAGATTGTGTTAAGTTGACAATCAAACTAATTATCACAATTGGTAAAGGGCTTGTCATGCAAGCATGAGGACCTGCCTCCATGAGGAGGCAGAAATAGGCATATCCCAGGGCTTTGCTGGCTAGTCAACCTAGCTACTTGATGAGTTCTAGGCCAAATGAAGAGACTATCTAAAACAAACAAAGGAACAAGCAAGGTAAATGGTACCTGAAGATAATACAAGACTGGCTTTTGCACAAAGTGCATACACGCACCCCCTTCTACAAGAACACACACATGTACACAGACACACAGACATACAAAGATAAAAGATTCAATATTTGAGTGTAAGGAGTATTTGTTTGGGTGTGTGTAATGTTAAACCTGTCTGCTGTCATCCCAAACTTTTTTCTTCCTTCTTCCTTCTTTCTCCCTCTTGTCCTCTTTTCCTCTCTCTCTCTTTATTTTTTCTCTTTCTTCTCTCTCTCTCTCTCTCTCTCTCTCTCTCTCTCTCTCTCTCTCTCTCTCTCTCTCTCCTCTCTCTTCCTTTCTTTCTTTTTGAGACAGGGGTACTCTGTGTAGCCTTGGCTATCCTAGAACTCACTCTGTAGACCAGGCCTGCCTCTGCTGGGATTAGGGGCCTGAGCTACCACACCCAACCTCTTTTTAAGACTTTTTAAAAAACATTTTAAACTATGTATCTCTCTGTATATCTTTGTGTGAGTATGTGTATGTGAGCACAGATGCCCTCAGAGGTCAGAGGCACTGAATTCCCCTGAAAGTGGTACTAGGATGGTTGTAACACTGGTGCTGGGAACTGAATTTAGGACCTTCATGCTCTTGGTCACTCAGCCAGCTCTCCAGTCAATCACACTGGAAAGCTCACAGATAACTGTAACTTCAGCTCCAACTAATCTGGCATCCTCTTCTGGCATACATACGTGCACGAGCACACATAGAGATACATGCATGTACATAAAAAAGTCAGTAATTTTGTAAGTTACATTCTTGAGCATGAATTATTAGTTTTCCACTGACCTGACTTAGTAGTAGATGACACTTCTGCAGCATGGGTTAGGGTTAACAGTTGCCTAGGTTACATTGTTGGCCTGCCTCCTCCAGATGGACCCCACCTCCCAGTTTCTATTTTTTTTTTTTTTTTTTTCAATGTTTCCATCAAATTGTGACCCAGCCACTGGTTGGGTCAGTGCTCTTG